CCAGTGTTACTACAGGAGGAAACCTAAACTAAACTAACTTTATATAAGATAGCTCTATCAGTTCTAAACTGTTCTTCCCAGAGGTCAAGTAAGGGTCATCTCTTATTTATCCAGTGTTACTACAGGAGGAAACCTAAACTAAACTAACTTTATATAAGATAGCTCTATCAGTTCTAAACTGTTCTTCCCAGAGGTCAAGTAAGGGTCATCTCTTATTTATCCAGTGTTACTACAGGAGGAAACCTAAACTAAACTAACTTTATATAAGATAGCTCTATCAGTTCTAAACTGTTCTTCCCAGAGGTCAAGTAAGGGTCATCTCTTATTTATCCAGTGTTACTACAGGAGGAAACCTAAACTAAACTAACTTTATATAAGATAGCTCTATCAGTTCTAAACTGTTCTTCCCAGAGGTCAAGTAAGGGTCATCTCTTATTTATCCAGTGTTACTACAGGAGGAAACCTAAACTAAACTAACTTTATATAAGATAGCTCTATCAGTTCTAAACTGTTCTTCCCAGAGGTCAAGTAAGGGTCATCTCTTATTTATCCAGTGTTACTACAAGTGGAAACCTAAACTGCACGAATAGCTCTATCAGTTCTCCCTGGAGGTCCAGTATAAGAGCCTTGCACCGCATTACTTTCAAAAGGTTCATCTTAAAAGCATTTATCAATATCAAAAGCAATCATCGCCCTAAAAGCATTCCTAATAACCCTACATTCACTAATGTGCAGGTTCATTCAAATCTCTTACAAATTCAAAGATCTTAAGAGTGATATTGCAAATATTTCTGCATTTCTTACAGTACTAATGTGGTAAACACGTTATATCCTTTCAGAAAACAAAACAAGCTTTGGCGAAAAATCCCGCCCCGCTTAAAGTGGTACTTAAACAGTTGACAAATTGCTGTGGGAAACTATTCGCCTACGACAGGTACTTGTTAAATGCTTGCTGTATTTTTACACCTATTGAAGCCCGCTTTCCGTAGAGTAATGGAAAACCTCTTGCTAGGGCAAGGCAGGCGAAAGTTTTAAGCTCAACTTATAGGAGAGGGGATCATTCGTCTTTGCAGCTGGGTTTATCCGCAATTTGGGGGTACTGCCTCTCCCTATAGCCTTGTTATAATAAGCATCGCGAAATGCGACTTTTTCACTATAGTTGCAAAAAAGACGGGACCATATCAAAGGCTTACTATATATATACGCAGTGCTCAATATAGTAGTCGGAAGTTGGTCATCGGTTATTGTCCGAGCAAAACGCCAATACAGTATATCACTTAACTAATATTGCTATATGCGCTCACATCGTAGACATAGTCCATCATTTTGCCGCATTGATTTGAATAATTTGTTCTTCATTCTTGCATAACCAAAACACAATCTCTTACTGAATATGTTAAGTATACAAACTGCATCAAGTTTTTATACTTATACTTAGAATTATACTATATATTAACTGACGATTTATCAATTGAAATTCGATTTAATAACATTTTTGAGGTATATATAGATCAAAAGGATTGCTATAGTATATTGGATTTATATTCAAATTTCTTGTGCAAGTGAAATAATTTCATTGCAATGTGCTGCACAAGTTTTCTCGTGTGATTTCTATAAATAAATATAGTGTCTGCGTTGGTCTGAATATTTTGAGCTCTATATATCTGGAGTGGAACGGGAACGTCAATTATTCGGCGACTATGAGAAAACTGAAGTGCAAATTGACGTTTAAAATCTGTTTAGTGGGGTCAGCCAAGGGGGTCGTGGTATCCTAACTACCTGATAAATATATATGGATAAATTAACACGGTCTGCAATATGTTACAAAATTACCTAAAACTGCCAGAAGACTCTATACCTAATACCCAAAATTAGTCGACTGTGTTTTCTAACGGATAATATATCTAATCCGGTTATCAGTTTATAAAACCAAAAAATTATTATTTGCAACGAAGTCAAAATACGAAATTTCAGCACACCCCTTATTGGAACTTTGACTTTGTGTCGTACGAGTGCAGTGATTTGGTTCGCGAAATGCTCGATATCATATAGATAGGTTGGATACTATTTTTCCCTCAAAAGGTTGCCACAAAAGCCTGTTTCATCTAAGAGGAATCATCAGGTGGCTGACAAATTTGTAAAAATCTATGTATAAGATGAAATGCTCTCGAGGAGTAAATTAAAGAACATTTTATCCTATATCATATTACCGAGTGAGCAATATAGGCTACTAGTGTATACAGGGCCGCCGAGAGGGGGGGGGGCAAATTGCCCCGGGCCCCGAGGCTCTGGGGGCCCCTAGAAATGTAATGTTAGAAACTTAATGGGCCCCAGTCATTTTTTCGGGCGAAATATTTCTGTTTTCGGGCCAAAATATTTGTGTTTTGGGGCAATGAACCGAAATTTGGTATGGAAAATTGCGGAAAAGTCCAACGAAAGCAATTATAACGCACCTAAAAAGAATTTATTGTCCGAAAAAATTTTTTCCGGAATTTTTTTTTGCAATAGGGGCCCCTAAAAAATGTTTTGCCCCGGGCCCCCGCCAAGCTCTCGGCGGCCCTGACTGTATATGGGGCACACTGGTCTGATTTCGGAATACAGCTGGGGATGGTTTTTGGAAAGGAAGATAATCGGAGACAGATACCTTGTATAACCATGGGCAGGGACGTAGCGACCGGGGGGGTGTGGGGGGGTGTGACACCCCCCCAACTAAGACGATTTGAAAATTTCAGGTAAATCCATGAAAAACTGGCATTATAATAAATCAGGTAAAAATTCTTGAAAACCCATAACAATAACAGGCAAATAATAGAGAATTGAAATGCGGAAAATAGATGAGGTTTTAATTCTTTATGGCTTCATACGTTGATACGTTCAGAGGTTTCCGTTTTTTTCAATGTAGCCAGGCTTTATTTTACGAAAAGAATATGTTGTCTATTTTACTATTTCCATCGGCAAAAAAACCAGAATTTTTTCGCTAAGTAACATGCGCTTCCGGTTTTGGCTCTTTACACAAGGTCAAGGTACGTGCAAGAAATTATATTAATTTCATGACTACATCTACTTTTTGATAATAATACAGTGTATTTGAAATACATAGAATTATTTGTTTGCTTAGATTAATACAGTGACAGGGATATGATATCCAGATGTAAATTTTGAACGTCTGTGTATGTGTGATGCACATATGTGATGTGTATTGTGTGGTAGTAGTTCGTTAATAATTCTTCACAAATGGCCGATATGGCGATATATACGCAATATTCGTCTAATAACTACTAAAGAATTGTCTCGTAGATTTGTAACATTGTTGAATAGTTTAGGTTGAATGAGCCGTTACGAGGGCATTGTTTTAGCATTACTGTTCTCTATATTATACGTGTGTAATCTTTATGCATTATTTATTATATGTGTTCTTAAGACCATTTGTTTCTGCATTAATCCTCGTTTTTGTTTGCCCAAAAATCACAAAAAGTCACATACTTAGGTTAACATCAAGTCGCAAGACGTTGTTCACGTTGTTCACTGTGTAATAACATTGTTTTTAACGGATTAAAATCCGTTCCTAAAGGTATTGCATCCAGAAACACCAGGAACAAAGCCCAGCATTACACAGCGAATTGTCCGCTTTCTTTAAATATGCGCTGAAGGAACACAGACGAATGGAAGAAGAACGTCAGCCGGCCACAAGGTCTTAGGTCTTGAGGCAAAACCCATGTCATGTACGATTGCAGCGGACATTGCTCTTAGGGTGGCCAAGGGGCATGGTCTTTTCAAGTTGGCTTCACTGAGCTTTATAAACTATTTCTGACAGCCGCCCCTGCCGTTGTGAAAAATGAGAGATCATTCAGTTTACTGAGGATTGTAAAAAGTTATTCACGCAATAAAATATCTGGAAAACGTTTGAATGATCCTTGCCGCTGAAAAGAATATCACTGATGTCTTTGATGTTACTGCGATCACGAAAAAATGGTCAATCTTGAAAAACCGCCGATTGGCGATTGCTTGAAAACAATAACTTATACTATTGAAGGTTAAAAACATTACAAATAACTACTATGTAACATTATTGTTCATTGTATAGGGAAAAGCAGTTCTAGTTCAGCTAAAAATTATCTTTATTATATAAATTATATCAATTTACACCTTTTCCCTACATAAAAAAGGCGGATGGACTGCTTCGACAAAAACTTGTTAAAATTGACTGTAGTTATTGGAAGGCCGAGAGGTAACTAATCAATGTGATCATGGTATTTTAGATTTAACTACCTAATTGATAAAATGAGTGGAGAGTTCTATTCGGAGTTCGGAGTACTCGGTTTGTATATGCTCGTGTTCTTCTCGTGTGGCTTATACTCTTTAATTTAGAAGAACAAAAATAACCCAAACATATTCTAATGAGAAAAAGTAGATTGAAAAGCAAGAAAAAATGTTGTAAAAATAGATGTGGGTTAAATATCTAGGTGATAACTGTGCAGGGGAGAAATGCACCACAACATTGCAGTGCACAAAGATAGGGGGTTTATCTTTCAGGTAAATTTTTACAATAGTGTAAAATCAGGTAAATTACTGCATTGCACCCCCCCAACTAGCACATCTTCGCTACGTCCCTGACCATGGGAATATATACAGACAAGGAAGACAGTCCACTTTATATTTGCAATAATCATGTCAGGGGTCCAACTACCTGCGCTATACAGGAGGTTCCCATCCGTGTTTCTTGTGTGTTTGTCATATGATAACTTAATTTGTGAGACCAATGGACATTGCCCAAGGACAAATTGATTAAATTTTGGTTAAATTGAGATGGAAATTGTATGAGAAATTAGCAAAAATTTGTCGTGAGTGAACAACAATTAGCCCATTGGCATTGTGTAATAATGTATTTGCATGATACACGTCTTAACTGTGGTGAAGGTATGCAATGTTCGAGTGGTCGCTATATAGTTGTGCCTGTAAATGGCTGTAAGTACCTGTAGTTAAACGGCACTTAGAACTCAAAGGAAGAAAAAAATTAGCTATAGATTGTAGCGTCAACAATTGAGGTCACGAACCAAAAGTATAGCTACGTTCTATGACCTTCTATACCTTTACACAGCTTACTTGTTGGTGGACAAGGACAATTTAATCCAAGAGATGGATTTTGATACTAAGCTAAGATAGATGGATTTTGATGGATTTTGATACTAAGATAGATTGTAGCATTAACAATTGAGGTCACGAACCAAAACTATAGCTACGTTCTATACTTTTACACAGCTTATTATTGGTGGACATGGACAATTTAATCCAAGAGATGGATTTTGATACTAAGCTAAGATAGATGGATTTTGATGGATTTGATACTAAGATAGATTGTAGCATTAACAATTGAGGTCACGAACCACAAGTATAGTTAAGTTCTATATTTTTACGCAGCTTATTATTGGTGGACATGGACAATTTAATCCAAGAGATGGATTTTGATACTAAGATGTTCAGAACCATCGTTATGGCTGTTTAAAGCAAGGCGTCATCAAACCTATAGGCTTAATTAATGCATCTGACGCATGCGTGATTTCAATTGTCTATTGGGTGAGCCAGACGTTTAAAACACACCAATTTACTAGAGCAATTTTAATAATCATTGTGTTAAAATTCATCTCTGAAATTGAATATTATATATATATGCACACTAATAATTAATATAGCTGTGTAAAAAATTGGAGCATATAGCTATTGTAGTTTTGGGGGATCTTGTATAGTGCAGTTCGTTTGAAAAAGTAGCGTGTTAATATATAGACTTTGAAACAATACTATAAGTTATATAACGCATCACATAAACGCACTTATAGTATAGCTTTGCGAAAACACTATCAATATTAAAGCAATTTTCCCAGCAAGCGCTTGCATGTGACATGTTTTTAATGCATTTTAGAGTTATAAATACTAAATAATGTTTGCTTGTCAACGTAACGTCCTAATATAAATTTTAATGCAATATGTATGAGATTACTATAAGGCGTTCCACAAACAGTATATTAATAACTTATTTAATCGCATTCGGAATAATAAATAGTACCATTTTATCGAATCTATAGCGAAATACGTGCAAAACCATTCTTTGTTTAGAAAGCCTTGATTAGAAAAGGCCATATAAATATTATAAAATGGCTAAACTATACCCAAGACGTTGTGACTGCTTTTTCTGAATCAAATTCATAGCTTTGTATCGATATATTATTTTGAGATCCAAGGAAAGTTGTATAGCAGTTTTAACTTTGTATGATTTTGAGAAAGGCCCCCGCTCGCGCCAACCAGAATGAGCTAAACGATTTCCGGTTATATATCATAACCAATTTCTATGTCACTAACCCACTATACCGGTGGGAGGTTACAATGCCTTTCAGCTGCTAAAGCCTAAATTGTAGTTCCGCAATACCTTATAAGTACAAAAATTAATGGCTATAAATTTATTAATTGTTACCCGTCATTATATTGACATATTCGCACAGTCGCGCGCCAATAACATAAGTATATCCCATAGAACTGTTGGCGTCGAGTTTTTAGTCGTGAAAAACCGGCTTTTGTTCACCAAATAGGGAACTATTTTAAGTATTTTTTATGGGAGTTAGGCGCCACAGTTGCTAATACATGGGCATTGTATCTCTAGGGCCTGGGTTCGAATCCCAGACCTCTATAGGAAGAACACATGAACTCAGTAGAGCTAGCCAGTATAAATAAAGTTGCTACTGGCTACTAGAAATACCCCTCCCTTGAGAATAGAGACCCAACAATTTTTAATAAGAGGCCATCTAAGTATGCATTGCGCATTAAATATATTGTAATCAGAATATAAAATATTTGCGTGACTTTCATTCGCAGGCGTATGGGCGTTTTGTATGTTGTCTTTCATTAAAATGATTATAATTTATAGTTTCTAAAGTGCAGATTAGCCTTATATATAATGTGAAAGGTCTTAATAGATCAAAGAATCTTTTCTGAAGCAATCTTGAGACCAATTACATGACAATTATAGCTGTGTAAAGATGTACCTTGTTTTTAAAAGAAGATCTTTAAAATGGAAAATATTTTCATTGTTACAGAACACATTTTACCGATAATGGCGATATATTTATATGGTGAGAAATTTCGCAAATATCGTCTTGTCAGTTCCGGCCACATAGCCATAGGCTGAGGCTCACTGCTACCATCAGTTCAACGAGTACCATCAATTAACCAAATATTTAGCCAAATCTAACGTCTCCAAGCTTAAATTCTTCACGTTAATAAAGACCGGAATTACCAAGCCGTGTTCACTTATCAAAAGTTGACCATCTGAAAATATCAGTCAGGGATTATATATACATAAGAGTCATTTCGGATTTAACTCGGTAAAGGAATTTGAAGCATTAAAAATAATATTTTAGGATTATATTTGACATTTTGGCAGGGCAAGTTCTGTACATTGTAAACCGGAAATTTTGCCTCGTATAAAAACTGGGTGCAATTATAAACATCCTTTTCCCACCAAATGTATTGTTCAGAAGCGGCATTGTGTGTGGATGGATGTCAGTTGAATACAATACAATACTTCAAGCCAGAATTTTAAGAGAATGTGTGATGTTTCCTGGCCCTTAGATAAATAATATGTGAAAATTATAACCTCGATAATCTTTGGTTAAGATTTTTTTAAATTAAGCTGCAATGTCTTCAAATACACCCGACTTTATATTTTACTCTTTATAACACCAGATTTTAGTGCTTCATCTGCAAAAGATGAGATCATCTGCGAGATTTTAGATGGTATGCCAAAGAGAAAATGATGTCTGAAGTTCAGTAAGTTTTGCTGATATTGCTGTTACATAAATATGGCGTCAATTTTACAGCATCAATGATAATTGCATTTAAATTGACAATATTTAACTATTATTTTGTGTTTCTCAACCGCCAGATGCATTTGAAACGGTTGTTAACTTTGTAAACTACAAAATAAAGCTATAAGAGAAAGTAATTTTGAGAGGGACGGCGCCAAAACAATAGTTTAGGTTTTGAGCACTTTTCACTTTAATGCCATATGCTAACTCTTATAAACGTAGGCTTATATTATTTAAATATTTTTAAAAGGTAAAGCTGTTAGCTAAGATCTAAATTTAACTTCATCAGCACTTAGCATCAATTTTGTAGCCAATATTTAACTCGAATATAATGCCAACCATATGTGGGAAAATTTATAATGCTTGCCTTGCAAGATATTAGAAGGGGATGCCCGCTTAATATGCTAATCAGTACTATATGCATGACATTTTTTCTCAACATCAAAATTTTAGTGATGACTCAAGTCAACTCGGTGTGATATCATGGTGTAAATCAATACTAGCTATATAAGGTTCAGCCTTTTACAGCTTTAATATTTAGCCAAGATTTTTTTTAAAAAAGTCTAATACTTCTTATAGTTAGACAATGCACGTCATTTAATCTTATCTCAAGTAAATAGCTGTTTTCGTGTGAAAGTTTAGTTAAAGCTTGGCATTGCCCAAGTTTTTAAGGAAATACCTACTTGTTTCGCTAAGTATAAACGTGCATGTGACGTATATCCCATGCATGAACACTAAGTATTGGGTTTGAAATAGAAACACTTTAAAAGGTCATGAGTTTGAGGAAAATGAGGAGAAATTATATTGAAAGAACTGTTTAACTGATAGAGCTATCCAGTATATCTTACCGGGGCTCTATAAAGAACAGTGTTAGCACTGATATACAGAGCTATCCATGCAGTATAAATAAAGTTAGTTTAGTTTAGGTTTCCTCCTGTAGTAACGCCGGATTAATAAGAGATGATCCTTACTGAACCTCTAGGAAGAACAGTTTAGAACCGATATAGAGCTATCCATGCAGTATAAATAAAGTTAGTTTAGTTTCGGTTTTCGCCTGCAGTATAACACTAGATTAGATTATATCCTTACTGGATTTCTAGGAAGAATAGTCTATAGACTAGTTTAGAACTGATAGAGCTATTGCAACTTGTAAAGTGAAACATTTCAATTGCTACTGTAAAACAGTAAAATTGTTCACCGTGCCAAGAACATCTGTGAGGAGAAACGTGCTGCCCGAACGGGACCTTGATATAATTTTCGGCACCTATTTATCTCTAGTGATTGTTATTTTGATCATTTTACAGTACTGTGTTGTGTATTATATCAAGCTATTGTGAATTGAGTATATTTGAATAGCCGTCCATCAACGCAATAAGTATATAGATATCAAATATCCATTTGTCAATCGCAAGCACATGGTAAAATGGCGCGAGAATATATAGAGCCATTATAAAAATCATTAGACCAAATAGGGCTCTTTATAGCGCGGCGTTTTGTCATTCAAATTGCCGACAAGGATTCAGTTGAGAAGCAAATTGCTTCAAATCTGTTTTCAAGCTGTTGGAATAATCGTGGTTTGTGTTTGAACTGTCGGAAAAAGTTCAAAAAATGCGCTCGAAACACCGTGATGTTTTTGAGAGTTGATGAGAATTTGTCACGAATTGTTATACAGGGGACATTTCTAGCTCTAGACTAGCAAAATAAAGGTCTATAATGAGTGTTCCAACTATGTTTTATAATAAATAAAATCCGGTCTATATAGAAACTCCAGCCGGAAGGGCCTTCGCTCGAAACGTCGGCTTGATCTTTTTCATATAGTTTAGACATAAACCACGACAGTTTATTGTAGGATACATATGCGCAAGGCATTATGTAACAAATTAAGGTTCGCGAACTTATAAAATTGCGACATTATCATACTCGGAAATTGTGCATCATCGGGCAGCCATTACTGAAAATGAAACACCGTTAATTAAGAGATGATTATATCAATTTGCATTTCTAAGTCCGACTAAGGTAGTGACAATGATCAGGCCCCACGCTGATACTAGCAGATTTACGATTTTATCGCGGTCAATGTCTAGAATAGTATAGAATTCGAATTGTTTATATATTAGCAAATTATAAGCAAGAATTAATTGTTTAGAATTCTTAGATTTGGGAAGGGTGAAAATGTGATATAATGTAAATAATAAACTTTCTTCATGCTGGAATACCATTTGCAATACTGGTATACATTCAATACAAAACATATAAAACTTACAAAGAGATTTGATTAAAAATTAGAATACTATAGTATATAGTTATAATTGACCAAAATTTGTTACCCCGTTAACAGCAATGCTTATAGCAATATAATGATATCCGCGTGGATTATATTTAGAGCATTATGTAAGCGCATACTTTGTTTATATATAAGGATTTTCCGTACTGAACATTTTGTCAAGTCAGGTTAAAACTAAACGGTCCCCAGAAAATTCCAAATACAATATTTTAAGTGCTTGGAATTCTTGTGTAATATATATTGTGTGTGCAGAGATTCAAGTCGAATAAAATATATGAAACATGCTAAAAATATCGATAGTTCATGAATTTTTATACGTTAAGAAATCATCATGTTTGAACGATAAATGGATTTTATGGATTTGACATTGAGTATACAGAAGTCAAGGCAAAACCTTTCAAAGAGGGCCGGCTTTTCTAACCCTGTGAAAATTATGATTCGTGTATAGACTATATAGTCCATGTATACGCATTAAAATATCATTAATACTTTAATTATTTATATACATTAAGATATTGAGACTCCAAAACTCTATATGCATACGAAATACTTTTGAGGAGAATAGTTCATGAATAGTTTTACTTTGAGAAAGATCATGTATATATGTCGATTTTGGATAGAAACAGCTATATCACAATTAACCGGACATGCAATAATTTATATGAACGCAATATCTTATACACGTTTTATCACAAAGGAACAATATATTGAAAGTACAAAATCATCGATCCGAAAGAATTATCAAAACAGTATTTCATTAATGTGCAAGTCGAACACGCGGCGGTTTAAACTAGATTTGTTGGAATTCAGTAGCGAGAATGAAATTCTTGCAATAGCTAAAGTCGTATAAACAAATAGAGAATCGCCTTTCTATCATCGATGCGTAATCCGAAACAAAATTGCAAACAATTTACGTATAAAATATAATTTTGAAGAATTTGTTTGAAATGTCTAAGCTAGGAACTGCATGACTCGGCCTTAAACAATAAGTCTTACAGATCCTTCAAAACTTAGAATCTCCTATGCAAAATTCCTACTGTTATCACAGAGACTTTTATAATGTATAAGCCAACTAGCTTATGTATATATATAAATGTATACATATATATTATATATATACATATGATTATGACTATATATTAATTTGTATATACTTACATAGGGTTGTCGGGTGTCCATTGAATTGATGGCAAAAAATTCACTGCTTGTGATGAAATGATTAAGGCCCAAATGACAAAAACATGCGTGGCAATCCGTTCCATCTTCATTAAAACCAACAAAGTACACAGCAGAGAAAGTTCTTATGTCAAATGACAATTGATTGTGTTGTTATCTCGTGTTATCGCGACGCTTCGCTGACCTCTGTGTCTCGTTTATGGCCGGCACTTCCTACGAACAGAACAAATTATGAGGTAGGATTAACAGTGGATCGTGGATTTGAACAGAAAAGCTTTCAAGCCAACAGGAAACTCTTTATAAGCCACGAGGTACAGGAGAATAATGACGGCAAATAACTAAGGAACAAGAGTTTTAAATTAATATACAGGTGGAGCAAATATATATGTCATCCAATGAAAAACATATGTCTATATGACGTGTCCAAGAAGCCACTTGAGTTTTTTCACTCGATATTGGCTTGATGGCTTTCTCATCCGGAAAATTTTCAGTATGTCTTTGGTAAGGGTTCTTGCTAGTTTTGTTTGTCAGCTTAGTTTCCTAATACGAAGATTAAAACTGCACGCATGGGTGTCTATACTATATCACATAAAATCCTATCATTAAGCTGTCGCGGTTTGTATTTGGTAAAAGAAAGATGGTTCTTGTAATCTTTTTTAGGTCCCTGAGCCTGATATGATCACAAAACCACGACAGCTTGTCATCGGATGTATCACACTTTCATGATAATTTTATCTTCGATGTAAGATTTTTCATTTTAAACATTTATACCGTTTGCTTTCGCAAAAGATTTTAAAGCAGATTTATAAGAAGAAGAAATATATTCTTTGCTATATGCATTATATACAATTTGAAATTTAAAAGTCCCAAAAACGAAACATTTTAGCATATGTAAACAATTCTCTTAATTTTAAGTAGCATATACGACATAATATTAAGTGACTCTCTGATGCCAAAATTAGAATAGAAAACTGATTTCGATTTCAACTGCAGATGGATTTGGCATGCATCTATAATCTCTCAACAGCTTTACTTGAAAATAAGGATTACCCAGGTGTTATTTCACACGTTTTAAAGTGAGATTCAAGGTCTTAGGACAAAGTATGCGTGAGAAAGTATACTTTAAGACATCTCAGTAGAAAGTAAAAAAAAAGTCTTTATAGAAACCACACGACGAAATGTCTGCACAAATTTGAAAGTGTGAGAAAAATTTAGTCGTTGGCGTTGCATATAAATATCTTCAGCTGTTGAGTGTTGAAGCGGCCAGCAATAGACAATTCACTTTATACTGATTTTAAAACTAGGCAAAGAGATGCAAATAAATCACCACAGCTAGAAAGAGCATATTAAAATGAGTAAAATTGCAAAGTTTGGTTGCGAAATGTTATAAAATGCGGAAACTATAGCCTTGAAAAGTTCGCAAATTTTGTACACTTTTGTATTGCATGCGGAAATTGCTACCACATTTGGGCCCGAAAATGTTAGCAATTTCCCACGCAATACAAAAGTATACAACTGAATTGCAAACTTTGCATGGCTATATTTTCCGTATTTTACAACATTTCGCAACCAAACTTTGCAATTTTAGTAGTTTTAGTATGCTCTTTCCGGGAATATCAGTACTTTTTTTGACAAGATAAAAAGTATAGTCTATATAATAGGAATTGTCAATTTCTCTTCTGTTGCCAAGACTCAAGAGATTTTTTGGGAACAGGAAAAAGCTACTATTATTTGGATCTTGAAAGGTATAATTTTACTGCCCTAATTTGTTCAAGAAATTAAGCAAGTATATTGGACCATGGTATCGATAATTCCTTGGATTCCTTGGATATAGTATCGATAATTTCAAACTGAACACAGAAATCAGTAGTCAGTTCCTATAGTGTTACAATTACGATTATAGCATTTCTATCAGTAGAGCAAGTTTACATCGGTGAATCAAATGCGCTTTATAGCAAGTATTACTATTATTGTTTTGTGTTTTATCAAGTATTACGCTCACGTAATAGTAATTACTGAGCCTAGACTGTTTTGTCTTTTACAACAATTGTGATATTACTTTCTTAACTGTGTTTATCCTAACCCACCCTGTCGATTTTCCCTGTGGGAAAAAACCCGCGGAGCACCCGGAGACAACCCACGACTTTTGGCAGAGCGTTGAATGACTCTTTTCACGTGAGTTCGTAGCGAGAATCCAACCCATGCACGACTAACCCCACCGAAACCGAAACCCCGTGTAGTTTGTAGATTATCTGCTCGAGCTTGCTCGTCACTCCCTGTAATTGATCGAGTACGAGACGTGACAATTATTGTAATGCTTGCTCGTCACTCCTTGTAATTGATCGAGTACGAGACGTGACAAAGGCAGCAGCCTTAAATTTTACACTTCAAAAACTAGAAACTACCGACATTAACTGAGAACCGTTGCAAGGAGGACACATCGACGACTGCAAATAGTATAATAGCAATCGTAATATCGTAGAAAAGAAATAGTGAATTAACTGATCTCAGATGTCGTTCTCGTTGTGTTTACAACGGAAAATCACAGATGATCACGTCTTTTTGTATAACGCCAACGGCTACATTTCAAGCTGAGACAATGGTTATTTTCAAATTAGATCCTAGAACTCTTCTGAACCATAAATCCTGCAATCTTATGTATTTATTTATTTTATTTATTGTGCTTCGCCTAGACAAAAATTTTATCACAGCTTGAAAGAGCATCACAAAATTAGTAATATTCCAAAGTTTCGTTGCGAAATGTTGTAAAATGCGGATAATATAGCCTTGCGAAATTTGCAATTTTCAGTCCGCATTTTGTATTACAAACGGGAAATTGATGCCCCAACACCCGATTGGGCTGTCAATTTCCCGTGCGTAATGCAAAATGACTGAAAAACGGCAAACTTCGCATGGCTATATTATCCGCATTTTACAACATTTCGCAACGAAACTTTGGAATATTACTAATTTTGTGATGCTCTTTCAAGCTGTGATGAAATTTTTGTCTAGATCAAAATTTAGTCTATAATGCGAATGGTCCATTCCTCGATCCTTAAACTGTATTAATTTTATACGATGGATAATAGACGACAGATTTTCCTTATCATCATTTAGTTCAACGAGTTTGTTTGCAGTGGTAGAGCGTTGTCGTTCTGTATCGCTTGAGCTCGCTATTGTACTCTGTATAGTCGTGTTTACGTACCCTACTCTACATTTTGACAGTGTAAACAGACCTTGGCCTAGCCTTGGCCTGACCTAGGCCAGGAAATCTGACCTAGGCGAGAAAATCGGTTATCATTCCATGTTTCGCGCACCAATATAGGTTAGGGTTAGGTATTAGGGTTAGGGGTTAGGGTTAGGTTTAAGGTTGGGGTTAGGGTTAGGGTGTGTATATATGTGTATGGAGGCATCTAGTGAACTTTTCAGTACACTATAATATCCATTACATAACGTTTACTATATTGGTGCGCGAAACATGGAACGATTACCAGGAAATCACTACAACCGGTGGCCTAGGCCTAGGCTTGTGGCAAAGTAAACACTTTTGGCCCTAGCCTGGGCCTTATTTCCATGACAACCTGTGCCCGCGTTGTGCGAGATTAACGGCCAACCAGCGGACAACGTCACAACACGTAAAACTACACAAAATGTATTGCAAAATTCGAGGCCAAAGTGAGCCAGTCTCAAAATGCCAGTGTGATGGTGCAAACGGGCCACATTTACATTGGTCTGGCCAAAGCCAGGCCAAGGCCTGTAGTATAGTGCATGTAAACAGTACTTAACACCATGCATGCAGAACAGCGTGTTCGTCAAGTGGGCTGAGAGCACTGTCTGCCAAAATCACTTATTGATCTACTACAAGGCGCGATGCGCACTGACGCACTCTCAGTATCAACTTCCTGATCCCCTCCGTCATTCATCCACGCTACTAACTCCCGACGAAAGAAATTCTGTTGTCGAGGCAAGCGCCTGTCACCTCTATAAAGATCGTTGGTTCGATTCTCGCTACGGACCATAGATATCTTATATACATTAGATTGTGCATCTCTCCCTATTCTCCAATTCAAAAATTGAAGCCGTGATTGCAGACTCAGGATATTCCCACGAAATGAGAAGATTCGTATGTTTTCTATTTTTTAAACACGGAACTTAAACATTAAGTTAAACCTATTCAACTGCATTTTCAAACTATTCAAATGATGAAAGTTATTGTTGTTTTTTAAGCGTTTATTAGCGAGTGGGAAACTCCAATATGGCCGCCATCTATTCAAATGGGGGTAACCGCTGGAATATTCTTGGCTTCAATTTTACTAAAAGAGATGCGCTATGTAGTCTATATAAGATATCTATGATACGGACTCATGTGAAAAGAGTCTGTGAACGCCCTGCCGAAAGTCGTGGGTTTTCTCCCACAGGGAAAGTTGACAGGATGGGTGAGGATAAACACAGTTAAAAGACATTAGGGCCATTTATAGGGGACAAAATAAGCCGTGACTTACATAAGACGCGTCTTATATAAGCTGAGTTATCGCATAAATGGTTCTCTACGGATTTATTCTTATTTACTTGCTATAGCTATAATGTTGTTTTGGTTGTTTTTGTTTGAATATGCAAGGCTAATAATTTTACGTTGTTTCAAGTTTCGGGCATGTGTAGTTAGAATTTTTGTCTAAAATTTCTTATTTAAGACGCGACTTAAATAAGAACAGCTAAAAGTCCTGTTCTTATGTATAAGACGCGTCTTATCCAAGACGCGTCTTACATAAGAATTTTGTACCTTTTATACGACAAACTCGCGTCTTATTTAAGTCGCGTCTTATTGTAAGTCGCGTCTTATTTTGTCCCGTATAAATGGCCCTAATGTTGTAAAAAATATAATAGTCTAGGCTAAGTATATAGGTAAGCGCGTAATTCTTGAAGGCTTGATGTGAAAGCATATTTGATTATATCCACATTATTTTACAGTGTCTGACGCCATCAATGGACCATTTGCATTATATATAGACTAAATTTTGATCTAGACAAAAATTTCATCATAGCTTGAAAGAGCATCACAAAATTAGTAATATTCCAAAGTTTCGTTGCGAAATGTTGTAAAATGCGGATAATATAGCCATTACGAACATATGGAAACCAGGATTAAGCCATTAAGACGCAATACGCACTAATGCGCTTTGTCATTTCTGGCGAGAACAACGCGGACATCTTAGAGAGAACCGATACGGTTATCCAGTATGAATAAAACGAAGTCAGCTCTTTTGTATTGGCATGTGACGCGATATAACTTCATTTCGCAACAAAGAGCTACCAGCGTGTCTTCGTATTAAAACGCATTCCGAAATACTTCTTTTTAAAGTTACTACATTAATAAACCACCAGAAATTACCTCTAAATGCTCAAATCCGATTCAAATTTAATCCAGTTAACAGCTTTGTACGTAAAGCAGTCTAATTATCAACGTAGTGCCTTATATTCTAGCTTTATTCAACTATACGTTAAAAGCACATTCCCAATATAGTATAGCTCTGCTAAAGTTACAATACATTTACAAACTATAAAACAATACCTTATCAAATTGATTAAATCCGCGATTCAAAATTGATCCAGTTGGCACTTGACGTTTCTAGTAAAACAGTCGAATTATATGCCCGTTTCCTTGTAAGCAGCTTTATTTAACTGTGAAGTAAGCAAAAAACAAAATGTTTATATCTTCGCTAATGAAAGAACGGAAACCTTGTTAGCATTCGTAGCAGGTCTAGAACTGCATGGGCTCTGGCGAAAGTTATTTATATTTACACGACCATTGTGATCGAGTACTAAAATCGAGCTTGCAGTGGGATTCTTCAGTGGCTGTTTCCCAAAACTTGAAATGCTAAATACTTGTATATTGTGGTATCTCTTATCTTAACCTTAACCCAACTGCAACTTGTGGGATTTAGATAATTTAGAGTCATCTCGAAAATGATTGACAGGTAAAATTTCGGCCAATCGTGGCCTTTCTAGCGTATTCCAGAAACTTGGAAATCTTATACAATTCTATAATTTTTTTAAGTGAATTTATTTTATATCGTTGAAAAACCATTTGAATGTCATGTATATTATATTCCAACTAAAAATATTACGATTGATAATTCATGCCTTATATTCTTTGTCAAATTCATTTGTCAATAGTTAGTTGTGCTGTTGAGGTTATTATTTATAAGATGTGAAGTTTGCACAATTGGTAGCGACATCAGCTATAAAACAATCTCAAACGAGAAATGCATTTACTATAAAAAATTAAATGATTCCTTTACTTAATTGTCGAGTATACCAAAATAAGATATTTCTAAGAGTTGTAGACTTGGCGGCCGTAGCCGATTCTATTTTTAATTATTTTGTAATAACGACAACTCACAGAGGAAAAATGATCAACAGCATACTTTTCTCACAAATCAACTGATATAGGAGCATTTATTGAGCCATGTAATTGCAAGCTGGTATTTGCGCTGTCAATTACAATGACACGCTGGGGCTCCCTGTAGCTTATGTGACCGCATTAAATACACTGTCATCTAGGTAGACCATATACTATGTCATGTTAATGTTTATATATTGCCATGGGGAGCTAATGTTCTATTTTAACTTCTCTTCAATCAATGTCATATATAACGCGCCGGGATATTGAGTGGGCTGGGAACTATAGTCTATATATACCATATTTACTAGTGTAAGCGCTGTGGCGTTCTTTAAATTTCGACGGTCTTTTCATATGAGCGCAAGTCTGGATGCCCTTAATTTGTTAAACGCATATAAAATTCAATTTGCGTTCACATGAGAAATGAGCCGGCCGGGGTAGTTGAGATCTCACATTGCACTAGGTGGGTTCTCAGTCAAATGGGGTCAAATTTTCCATCGGAAAGCTTTATTTCACCTGACCGGAATGGACAATTTTTTGCCGATTTCGACCTATAATATAGTATCGAGCCGTTCATGTAATTTAAAATTTTCCCGTCCCATGCGTCACGCCTCCTGTATATATTCAGCATGCACTCTTGTAAATAGTCTTTCTTTGTCTCTACGTATTTTTCTTGTAAATACTTTGTATATGAATTGACGACGCCCCTCATGAAAACCAACGTATGTTGATGAGCCTAGCGTCTTGAAATAAATTTTTACGATACGACGATACGATACTAAGCGGGCTCATCAGTATAGTATATGAACATACCATGCATTGGTGTTTCGAATGCTTTCGCATTTTGAAAGCTCTGGAGAGAGAATAGAATTAGATAGCATTGGAATTATAGGATCCTTGCATAATAGTTTCTTCTTTTAAATAAGAAAAGAGGTATAGCGCAATATATTCTAACTCAAGGACATTGTATAATAGCACACGCACCAGTGTTATCAGTATATTGCATGTAGCTTCGGTCAAAAGGCCCATATGAAGAGATCGTTCTCCTTTTTTCAAGAGGGAGAACAGTTTACAACTGATGAAGCTATAATCCCGTATATTCAGCAGCATAAATACAGTTATAATATAGTTTTAACATATAGTTTACTATACGACTATGGTTATAAGTGGTATCACAAAATACAAGAAAAACAAATTTACCTTCCTATATACGTGGAATTTTTTTGATGTACCACGAAAATAATTGCAAGCACTTTTCAATTTTGACAATTTGTTGCTTTTCTATACAGACTATAGTTCCAGAACAATATCCCAGTAACTATATATACAGTTTAATTACTCTCCCACCAACTAAAGCGGTTGCAATTTGAAGAGCCCAACGTATAGTTCCTTTTATTGACTTAATACATGCTTCGACTTAGTACGATTTTACCAAACATTCTTGTTATTTGTCGAGGATTAAATACACACTCGTTTATGGCATTAAGTTATATTGTGTTGGTTCCTTGCTAACTTTGCCGGACAATAGCCTCACTGGGTCCCTAATCCTGTCGCTTTCAACAGAAGATTTAGCGATATGTGGGCATTTCTTGAATTTTCCAAGCGCTTTGGGGTTTATAGATTTGAGTTGGCGTACTAGGGTTTGGTCGAAGCTCGATCGGCTAACTTTATTTAAACTTGATAGCTTTATCAGTTCTAAACTGTTCTCCCTAGAGGTCCTGTAAGGATCATCTTTTATTGATCCAGTGTTACTACAGGAGGAAACCTAATTAAACTAAACTTATATTTTATACTGGATATAGCTTTATCAGTTCTAAACTGTTCTCCCCAGAGGTCCAGTAAGGATCATCTCTTATTGATCCAGTGTTACTACAGGAGGAAATCAAAACGAAATTTATTCCGGCCCCAAAAGGCAACGTCATCATCGGTTTCAATCGATTGTGGTAATTTCAGGAACTAGATCTAGAGGATATGAGATTGAGTCGTTGCCAAATGGTTGTAATTAAAAATGCCGCCTCCGAGGAGTGAGGTGGCGTTAATTTATTATCTTTGATCCATTTTCTACTGTTATTATCATAACAAGTAATAAAATTTGTACATAAAGCAATGATGAAGTTTGTTGGGAGATAATCAGGCGTTGCCCTTCCTTTTCGGCTTCGGAAATAACACATTATCACAGGAAATAACAGAGATGAACCTTACTGGACCTTTGGGGAAAACAGTTCAGAACTGATAGAGCTATGAGTATCCAGTGTAAATATAAAGTTAGTTTAGTTTAGGTTTCCTCCTGTAGTAACACTGACTGGATGAATAAGAAATTATCCTTACTGGACATCTAGGAAGAACAGCTTAGAACTGATAGAGCTATCCAGTATAAATAAAGTTAGTTTAGTTTAGGTTTCCTCCTGTAGTAACACTGGATCAATAAGAAATGATTCTTACTGGATCTCTAGGAAGAACAGTTTACAACTGGTAGAGCTATCCAATATAAATAAAATTAGCTTTTGAAATTCTAACATTCTACAGACATATATGCATTGTCATTGTTCTGAACTTGTTTGGCTAAGATTGAAAGGAACTATACAAGGAAGCCGGCATCCTACTTCCTTATACTTTGCTTGAATTGAAAATGAGATCAACCCACGCGTATTTGTTCCCATTTCCTAACCTTCTGTTTCGCAAGGAAATGGGAGGTTTTAAAAGTGGACGCACCTAATGACTTATGCATGCAAATTGTCTTATCGAAGTTCGGCAACCGCGTCTGTGATTTATGTTTCCTCAAAATACACACAGACACAATGACACGCAATTTGCCACCAAAACAACCTATCGACTTCTATATTCAATTGTCAGCTTGAATGATACTATAAAAATAATTTACGGCTGTTGCACAGAGCGAATTAATCATATATGTAAAGAGATAGACAATTCCCATTATAGACTAATTTTAAAACAAGGCAAGGAGATGCAATAAATCACCACAGCTAGAAAGATCATACTAAAATGAGTAAAATTGCAAAGTTTGGTTGCGAAATGTTGTAAATTGCGGAAAATATAGCCTTGCAAAGTTCGCAAATTTTGTATACTTTTGTATTGCGTGCGGAAATTGCTACCGCATTTTCGGCCCAAATGTGGTAGCAATTTCCGCACGCAATACAAAAGTATACAAAATTTGCGAACTTTGCAAGGCTATATTTCCGCATTTGACAACATTTCGCAACCAAACGTTGTAATTTTACTCATTTTAGTATGCTCTTTCTGGGAATATACTTTTTTTGCCAAGATAAAAAATTAGTCTATAATGATTAATGGGAATTGTCTTCCTAATTTCTCATCCAAGTTGATTCCAAGTTTAACCAAAATGTAATAAATTTGTCCTTGCATGGAGTCAGCTCCCTCAAACATTACGCCAATCTTTCAAAACATAGAAATGCCAATGCAAAACTTCTACTGTGATCACAGAAACTTTAATAGCGAAAACCACCCTGTATGGCTCTAAACTATACCTCTATCGTGTTATTTATTAAATTTTGATATTTAACTGTAATTGTTTTTGTATGTCAGCCTGTGTCAGTGTGTCTGATTTCAGATAAACTAAAAAAATTCTCGCTTGTTGTCTTTCTAAATCTTATCAGTGCAATCAGAGAGGCGCAACCAATAATAAATGCATATTAAATACAAGTGTGTGGTCTGCATTTGATCGACCGAATGTTTTTAGTGGAAACCTCGAGAGGGTAATGGGTTATCAACTGTTAAATTATTGCTGTTTAAGCCTATTTTCCACTAGGCGGAATTTTGCGCGCGGAGCGGAATTTTTCCTTGTCTTTTCTAATTAGTTCCACCCGAGAAATCACAAGACAAAGAAAAATTCCGCTCCGCGCGCAAAATTCCGCCTAGTGGAAAACCGGCTTTACGGATATTTAGCTGCATACATACACTAATAAAGTTCGTCTGGCCTTTTCCAGCGCAAAATAGGCTAAATAGCGACAGCTTATTATAGAATACTACCTTCATTGGACCACCACGTTTGAGATATCTTTTCGGATAGTTCATACACAAACCACGACAACTTATTTACTAACCTAGCTGCACTGCCCGCCACTGGGCCACTACGTTAACTTTGAGAAGTCTTTTTCAGGTAGTTCAGACACAAACCACGACAGCTTATTGTAGAATACTACCTACACTGCACCACCACGTTTGAGATATCTTTTTCAGGTAGTTGCCGTAGTTCAGACACAAACCACGACAGCTTATTGTAGAATACTACCTACACTGGACCACCACGTTTGAGATATCTTTTTCAGGTAGTTCAGACACAAACCACGACAGCTTCTTGTAGAATACTACCTACACTGAACCATCACGTTTGAGACATCTTTTTCAGGTAGTTCAGACACAAACCACGACAGCTTATTGTAGAATACTACCTACATTGAACCACCACGTTTGAGATATCTTTTTCAGGTAGTTCAGACACAAACCACGACAGCTATTGTAGATACTATCTACACTAGACCACCACGTTTGAGATATCTTTTTCAGGTAGTTTAGACACAAACCGCGACAGCTTATTGTAGAATACTACCTACACTAGACCACCACGTTTGAGATACAGAGATCGCTTGAACTACGGATATTATTACAAAATATGTTATCACCAACCTGTTAGCTTGATTTTGTCGCCAATTTTATTATCACGCACGGAAATTATGCTAATGAGATTCACATCCAATATTTAACATATACTGCGTCAGTTCTTTTGTTTTGCGTCGAAGCTTATATACGAGTCTTCGAGTAGCTTTTTGAACAATTGCAACTTTGTTTATTAGTCTTCGATGTTATTGCTGGCTATCGACTGAAAATAAAGACAACGTCGGCATGTTATTGACATAAGCGTATGAGCGGAAAATTAACAAATACATATGTTATAAGCGCAAACAAGGTTATGATAACTCTAGATCCCATTGCGCACTAGGAGTTAATTTGACCCACAGGGGGCGACTGTCTCGTAGTTTGACACTACTGCAGATTGAGAAATGAAACTAGCGGAAAAAACATAATTAACCCAATAAGCGCCAGCGCTTTCCCCTTGACGAGTAAAATCGTCTGGCGTTAGACAGAGTAAAGTAATAAAGTAGGGCGCATCAGGGCTCGATGCGACTCAAACGCCCGTATTCTAAAAGCTCACTCACACTCAATGAGTGGAGGTTCAATCTGAGCTTCTCTTGAGTGTCAATGCTGTTTTTGAATAGCTGGAGGGTGAGTAGTCACATAGTAAGGTATGACAACAGCCCTCCAGCTATTCAAAAACAGCAATGGCACTCGGGGGAGGCTCACATTGAACCTCCACTCATTGAGTGTGACTGTGTGAGTGAGCTTTTAGAATACGGCCGAATGGGTTAACTAAACACATAGGATTAGTTAACCCATTAAGCGCCAGCGCTCTCCTCTTGACGAGTAAAATCGTCGGGCGTTAGACAGAGTAAAATAATAAAGTAGAGTGCAATGCGACTCGATGGATTAACTAGACACATAGGCAGATAGACTAGTTAACCCATTAAGCGCCAGTGCTCTCCCCTTGACGAGTAAGATCGTCTGGCGTTAGACAGAGTAAAGTAATAAAGTAGGGTGCATCAGGGTACAATATATGCGACTCAATGGAGTAAACTTCAACACAACAGAGGCAGAACTTCAACATAACAGAACTTCAACATAACAGAACTTCAACATAACAGAACTTCAACCTTTTTCGAAATTCTGCTTAAAATATTCAAAAGAAACTACCATACGAAGTATTTTATTCTTCCGTAGTTCAGACACAAACAACGGGCAGTTTGATGTATAAATTCTACAATTACAACGCACACTGACCCCCCCATGTTTGTTTAAACGAGTCGTTGACGAATGTCCTGTCATTCTCGCGCTCAGACTAATTAATTTAGAATCTGTTATGCCTCTCCTGTTATTATTTTACTAAGGAATTTTAGGCATTTTATAATAAAGTCCTTGTTAGTGTCGATTGATCACTTGTAATGAAAATTTGGTTGCTTCGCGGTACAGATGTTTTATTTGGTTTCATTTTGATTTCACTATATTTATCATGGACAAGAACTAACTTTAGTTTATTTATACTGGATATCTTTATCAGTTCGAAACTGTTCTCCTTAGAGGTCCAGTACGGATCATCTCTTATTGATCCAGTGTTACTACAGGAGGAAACCTAAACTAAACTGACTTTATTTATACTGGATAGCTCTATCAGTTTTAAACTGTTCTTCCTAGAGGTCCAGTAAGGATCATCTTTATCATTGATCCAGTGTTAGGCCTACTACAGGAGGAAACCTAAACTAAACTAACTTTATTTGTACTTGGATAGCTCTATCAGTTCTAAACTGCTCTTGGGCGTTCTTCCTAGAGGTCCAGTAAGAATCATCCCTTATTGATCTAGTGTTACTACAGGAGGAAACCTAAACTAAACTTACATTATTTATACTGGATAGCTCTATCAGTTCCAAACTGTTCTCCCTAGAGGTACAGTAAGGATCATCTCTTATTGATCCAATGTTACTACAAGAGGAAACCTAAACTGAACCAACTTTATTTATACTGGATAGCTCTATCAGTTCGAAAGTGTTCTCCTTAGGCTTAGAGGCCCAGTATAAAGTGTTAATAGTCTATTGTTGCATTCATTGATTATTTGTTTACTGAGTTAATAGTTAATTAATAAAGCAAATATTTCCTAGGCATGTTATAAATGCAACATTACAAAGCATTGAGCAAATGATGTATACTCCTGAAACAATGCCCTATGAATGCCGACAAATTAATAACTTCTAGAACATGCATTTCAAAGCCGACCTATCACTCATACGATTATTTGAAACTTGACACAAGAACTTAACATGGTTTATTTGTTTTCACAAAGAAAATACGAACTTGTACTTTATGTCATCTCCCGTGGACTCAATTAAACGCATCTCAATGTTTGTGCTATCTCAGGGGCCTCCTGCGGCAATAATTCATCAATCATGATATACAATTCTAAAGATCAATGAATTTCTGGTTAATTGTGCTATTGATGTATATAGCGTATGTTTTGATTGCCAATTCAGATGACAGTGTGATCTCTGTTCCCTCGTAAATTAGATTATACCTTGCATTGCAATTTCGGGCGTTGGTCTGCGTGTTACAGTTTAGAACTGATAGAGCTATCTATTATAAATGAAGTTAGTGTAGTTTAGGTTTCCTCCTGTAGTATCACTGGATCAATAAGGGATGGCTCTTACTGGACCTCTAGAGAGAACAGTTTAGATCTGATAGAGTTGTATAGTATAAATAAAGTTAGTTTAGTAATTAAGGTTTCCTCCTGTAGTAATACTGGATCAATAAGAGGTGATCCTTATTGGACCTCAAGGAAGAACAGTTTTGAACTGGTATAGAGCTATCCAATATAAATAAATTTAGTTAGCCGGTTTATGTTTCTTCCTGTAGTAACACTGCATGGATCAATAAGAGATGATCCTTACTGGACCTCTAGGGAGAACAGTTTATATAGGACTGATAGAGCCATCCAGTATAAATAGAGTTAGTTTAGCTTATGTTTCTTCCTGTAGTAACACTGGATCAACAAGAGATGATCCTTACTGGACCTCTAGGAGGAACAGTTTATATAGGACTGATAGAGCCATCCAGTATAAATAAATTAGTTTAGTTTAGGTTTCCTCCTGTAGTGAAGCCGGATCAATAAGAGATGACCCTTACTGCAAGAACAGTTTAGAACTGATAGGTCTGATAGAGCTATCCATGAATAAAATTGATTTTGTTTAGGTTTCCGGGAATTTAAAAATTACTATAAATTGGTTTTTGATCGTTGATGTTATAGGGTGTGTTTCAGTGTTTTGCAAGCCAATGCCAAGGTTATTAAAGAGATCCGCTGTATACTCGAACTCCCACAGGAGGTATGTTTGTCAAATAAAGATTAGTGTTTTAATAAAATTGTTTGGACTTAACGCTATAAATATCTCTCAAGGGCAAGTTAGCTTTTCAATGTCCATATTTGTGTGTTGAAATATTGAATCGCGGGTAAGCGGGGTTTTCAGACAAAACGGTTCGATTCCCACCGTGCGCGCCATGATGCATATTTTTCAAGCTTGTCCGGTGTGGATATGCACTCGTGCAGAGTAACATCACAGACATCATATTCACCTGGGTACATAACACCAACACAGAAAAAAAAAACATGCGAATTGTGGAACAGATGGTGCATGCATTGTTATCACCGGCTGTTGATCTGAATATATTTGTTCACCAAATTGATCAATAAATGTTGAATTGACAGACGCCGTTTAAATCTTCTTGCTCCTGAGTGTCAGTAGACTACGACCTGCACCATCTGCTCTCGATGGCAGATTGTTGCGCAAAAATGTGTCGATCTTAATTAATCTTCAGCAAATAGGTTGAAATGTAAGGCTTGCATGGGTGGGGCCGAGACAAATTGGTATGCGGAGATGCTTTGGTTTCTGAACGCCAATGAATTCTGTGGCAAAAAAGCGTTCGAATTCAAAGCATTTAAACGGTTTGATATAAGATGAGATAGAAGGCAAGCAGAACGAAATCCAACACCACAGCTAGAAAGAGCGTCTTAGAATGAGTAAAACTGCAAAGATTGGTTGCTAAATGTTGTAAAATGAAGAAAATATAGCCCTGTGAAGTTCACAAATTTTGTACAGTATATTTGTATTACGCGCGGTAAATATAACCACTTTCGGCTCAAAAATAATACAAATATATTCAAAATTTGCGATTAACTTCACAGGGCTATATTTGCTTCATTTTACAACAATTCGCAATCAAACTTTGCAGTTTTACTCATTTTAAGACGCTCTTTCCGGCTATGGTAATGGATTTCCCTCTTTCTTGTCTAGATCAAAATTTCGTCCATAGCTGGGGAATCATGCATTAATCTTCAGCAAATGCCAAATAGGTTTAAATGTAAGGCTTGTATGGGCGTGGTCGAGACAAATTGGTATTGTGTAGATGCTTTGGTTTCAGAGCGCCAATGAATTCTGTGGTAAAAGCGTTCGAATTCAAGCATTGAATACAAAATTAATTGATCCAAATTTGTTAGGACACCGAAGCAATAAGGAGTTAAGCCTTGATTTGAGTTTTATCTGTTGTTTAACTCCTCGTATAATGATGTACGAAAGCTTATATTAAAACTAAAAACTAAAATCAACTTGGCTACCAATTCTCCCACGGATTTGTCCGCTTTCATTGTAATAACACACATAAACAAGTCATGATTATTAAAAGAACGAAACAAGTGGTCTTTTTGGTTAAGCTTTAAATTAATATAGATAAAATCTGCTCTGGGATCAGTAGACCTTGTATAATTGCACCGCATTAAATAGTGCTGTTTATGCCCGACCTTGTTCAAATCGCAATGCCCATGCATAGTGGCAAATTCTTTTAAATTGTATAAACTAAAGTGTTTTTTAGAGTGAATTGTGCCGACAATATGTTAGGCTCGGTTGAGCAGGTCTTAAGATCGATATCATGAATGGTACGTGTCTATATATAGTATATTATTTACACATGAACTTAACATGTGCTTGATGCTCGACAATTACTCTCTCTCTGTAGCTCAGTTGGTTAGAGCTTGACAACTGTCTCTCTGTAGCTCAGTTGGTTAGAGCTTGACAACTGTCTCTCTGTAGCTCAGTTGGTTAGAGCTCGACAACTGTCTCTCTGTAGCTCAGTTGGTTAGAGCTCGACAACTGTCTCTCTGTAGCTCAGTTGGTTAGAGCTCGACAACTGTCTCTCTGTAGCTCAGTTGGTTAGAGCTCGACAACTGTCTCTCTGTAGCTCAGTTGGTTAGAGCTCGACAACTGTCTCTGTAGCTCAGTTGGTTAGAGC